GGATCCCGCTCTGCAGTCACTGCAAACGTGGTTGTCACAGATGTGACTTAGTAAGTCACAGTTCTAGCTGTGCTTGTCTTTGGTCAGAGAGGGGAGCAGATTTGGGCTAGAAGAAACTTACGAAACTTAACTCTTAATTTAGCCAAAAATACTTACGAACGAGCTAGCTATTTATTTCCTGAATGCACACTCTGAGACTTTAGGAGAGTGAGTCCTCCTTGCAAAAGCCAGCTTGCCAATGCGTGTTCCAGAGCAGAATTCCTGAATCCATATGATAACAAAGCTATGTAACAAAGCTTAAGTGCCCCAGCTAAAAGCAGGGAACAAAGAACTAGAACCAGACAAATAAAAGTGGAGTGGGATGTGCATGATTATCCCTGCTTCTGAGATAGAAAACAGCAAAACAGAAAGCAAGGGGACCAAGGGCACCCCCCCAATGAGGACCCACACTAAGAGCTTGCAAGTGAAGCTAGGAATGACCTAAAAGCTGGTCTATCCTCAGACTCAAAGGCTATTTCAGAAGTTAACAGTCAAAAGAAAATGCTGCCTTTATTTTAATGAAAGGTGTTCAAGTGCACAGTTTTAGGACACTAAGTCTAAGGCAGAATCAGTGGATCAGCTGCCCGTATGGAAACGTAGCAAGAATTAAGGAGTGTGCAGATAAAAGATGCTCCTAGTGCAGCTTCTCAGTGCATCAAAGACCACATTAGAAAGCCCCTTTCATAGCCTGATTGAGCTTTATCTTTACAAAAGCAGCTGGATTTTCCATTTCCATTTCCCCTGCTCCCTCCTTCTCCTCTGTCATTCTAATTGAAAGGCTATTCCAAATCAAACTGCCCTATTAGTTCAGAATTTCCTAATTTCAAGATTTTATTCAATTTACACCTATCTGCTTTTATGCCAATGCAGTCACTCAGTTCCATAGCCCTCCTGGTTTCAAACTATTAATTCTTTGGTGCATGCAAGTATTTCATAACCATTGAGTTTTCCTCTCATGACCATTCTCTCTTCTGCTCTGCTCCCCAAAAGCCAGTCACCCTTTCTTCTTACCAGCCACTTTCTCAAACGGAGGTAGAGCATCTGCATTTCTTCTCCAGTCATATAGGAGCATTTTTGCCTGGACTGACTTGCTGAAAATCTCTGGTGTGAGGCACGAGACTGACATTTCATGCGCTCTTTCTTTCCAAATGAAGACGTGTTSATCATTTGGTCCCTTCAAGCCGCAAGGACGTCATCAGCCTTGGCTGCAGTAATATTTATTTTATATCTGTATTTCCTCTAGCCACCTTGCTTTGCCTCCACTGACAATATCATTACAAGCATTATTACTAGAAATTTAGCCCAAGTTTTCACCTAGATTTATGAGATTATCCCTGCTTTCTACTCTTCCTTCATTTGTATTGCAGCCTCATTTCTTATTTTTTTCTCATTTCTAGAAACTTCATTTGACAACACACTACTTACCCCTACTTACAATAGCATACCAAACTATACTATTGCTTTGGAACACAGCGGTCAAGCACGTTAGCTAATCCATTACACTCAAAATCAGGACATAGCCTTAGGTCTCAGTATYCCTTTTTGATGTTTTTATGCCACAACTTGCTGGTACTCTCGCTGAAAATACCTTTCTTAACTCTGGGCCCATTTTACTCATACCTTTGGTATCAGGTCCGCTGAGAACATCCTAGTATTTTGCAGTTACACTTCAGCGATAAAGGCTCAAGGAAAAGAATTAATGCAAAATTTTCGAACACTGTAAAAGTTTTTTTTTATGTATCATACCCAATAAGACTATAAAGTAAACCTGCTCTGCAAATGCAGAAGCAAAAGCAGAACAAGGAGAGCCTAAGGGACCGAAACCAAGTCCGTGACTGTGCTGTATCAGAGAGAAGGGGCTGCGCTCTCCGCTGTCAAACATCTCACAGCCCGCTCTCCGCGGGGCTATCGCTGCAGTGCTTTGCTGTGGTTTCCCTGTGAGCGCTCGGGCTCTTTTCCCTGCAGCTCTGCCCTCGGGCTGTTTCCCCCTCTCCCTGCACAGAGGCTCCACGCTGTCCTGTCCTGAGAGAGCTCCCGCATGATCTCATCCCGGCCTCCCCCTGCCTGGCCTCCGCCTGGCCGCCTCACAAAAGCAGAAGTAGCTACACGAGCTACAAAAAAAGTTCAGTAGCTTGATAAAGTTTTTAAAAAATAGTTCAGAGGAAAAATTATTCCCTTTCTAATCATCCTTTTTTAAACAAATACTGATCCGGAAAGACCTTTTTATTCAAATAACAGGCCTTACAATAAAGCTACCAAACAGCTAAAAATCTTGTGCAAGGAGGAGAAAAGCAGCAGATCTCACGCTCAGAGGAGGTGTAAAGGGCCAAGTGAGATGAGATGGACACAAAYGCACAGCTTCAAACAGCACCTCAGCAGCCAGGGATGGGAAATGCTCCGGGACAAGCCTTGTCCTCGGCTCCAAACAGCCTCTAATGCTACATAGGCACTAAAGGGATTTGGTGCAAATATTTTTCCCTAATATTCAGTAATTTAAACTTGCTTTAACTAAAAAAAGGAGGTTTTATTTCCTATATATTTCACAGTGTCGAGACACCACAGGATGGAATAAAAATATTTCTAGCCCTTCGGCAGCACTGAATTCATGCCTGGAGGAACGAACTCAAACCAGTGTAAATCCCCCAAACTCTCAAGCCAAAAGGAAGGGGAAAWCCCAACAACAGACATTAAGACATCATTAAAAAATAAGGCCATTTGGAATCTGCATCAGGGAACTTCTGAAGGAAAGTGACTGGAAGAAGCGTTGAGGGTGTCTTTCCACAGATAACAKGTGAAAAGTTGCCCAAAACACACAAAAATCCCTCCCTACAACTCAAGCGCACCATGCAGGCAGGTGCCAATGATGTAGACAGCATACAAAAAAGGAGAAGTAATCTCAACATTTTTATGCAAACTGCAAGAGGAAGCAGAGCCACCGTTGCTTTAGAAATCACAAACCAGTAACGTATTCAGACACTGGAATTAACCCTTCGAGAGAAAACAGGAAAGTCTCAAATGACCTCACTTTTATGTTTCCTATTCACCGTAGGAGCTCCCATAGATCATACAGGGATRTGACATCTTTGGTGTTGCAGCTATGATGATATATCTCAAAATATGTTAAGATATGCCCAGAATTATGAATTCTTAACCAATACTGGCAACAAGAGCACTTAAAAACATGACGTGGATTGGCAGGAGGAAATCCAAGAATAACCAGTCTAATGAGTATGCACATAGTGATACGAAAATAGCTGTGAATCCCTGTATTTAAGATTACTGGAAATAAATGGTTGTTCGTGCAACTGGGAAATAGTGAACAGGGCAAAACACTGAAAGTTAGGCTCTCAATATACTGAGAGAACAGGTCAAAATTTCATTATCAACTTTCAAAGTGTTTGTATCAACTACAATAAAAAGACTGCTAGAGTAATGTGCAGAGAAAAAGCTGAAGTACCAAATTATTAAAAATGACTTGTGGAAACCCAACAGTGACACAAGGCTTTCTAGGAAGCGAAGGTTGACCAGAGGTTTTCAAGACCCCTGCCCATGTCCCCAAATAAAAAGGACCATGCAAATCCCAAGACCGACAGCATCACCTCCATTAACACTCGCAGGGAGACTCACTTCAGGCAGAGCTGGCAGAGCCATGCCAGGGTGACTTTCAACAGATACATTTTAAAAAGGAAATAAAATTACTATATCTGACTCCATGCACTTATAGTTGGAAATCCTCATAAGCCAAGCCTTAAAAAAGACAACCCGAAAGAGCTCGGATAGTTAACTATTCCACACAATTAGCAGGAATTCAGTACAAAAAGATCATGCCCRGTCAACTGAATGCTTTAAATCTGCACAGTTTTCATGGAGGAAAATCAAACAATTTACTGGACATTCAACAAGGTTAATAATCTCTTGCAACATGAAAGAAATCAGTAGGTCAGTGAACGTGTCATGTCGCGAGGGGTGGTTGTGCATGAGGAGCTGCTGAGAGCACTTCGAACAAAAGGGAGCCATGAGTGAAAGTGGCCAAGAAAAACTGAAAATAAACATGAAAGAAGCATTATTAAGACCTACTAATTATCTGGCTGCTTTGGAAGAAGGTAGCCTTTCCTGATGCTCTAAAACCGGGACCACATACCCAGTTAGTACTGAGCAGAAAAGTTAGTCGTGCTCCAGTGTGGAATGGAAGAGCTATCTGCTCATTTTCCAAGCTAGTGCACATTATGTTGACGTTCATCAGCTAAGAAAAGCAGCACCAGAATTAAATGCTCTACTTAAATAAAACATGTGAGGAGCAGAAAGACCCCTAAGTGCATTTTCCACTTCTGCTATACAGAAAAGCAATAGCAATACATCACGGTCAAATGCTGCTGTTCAATCAGAACCCTGTAACAGATTAATGACATAAAACACTGGAAAAACAGCCATTTTATATTATATCAATGGCATTGCCACCTTTTTCTTGGCTCAAAGTTCTAGAGCTAATGACTAGAGCTTGAGAAACTGTGGTACTTATCTGCACAGATGTATGCAGTCCAAAGAACAAAAAAAAAGGGCAACAGATGCATTGGGGATTGCAGAAYGGATATGAAAGATTGAGAGAGGCTGACATGGGACAGAAAGTCAGCCAGCAAGGTGGTTTTCTGAGACAGAGGGGCCTGAGAGTGTTCGTTCCCCTCTTGAAATTACTGAATATCAGAGATATCAGTATTTTGGAGGGGGTAGGGAAAGGCAACACTTCATCTGTAAGATTAAACAGGGCAATGAACAGCATTAATTGGAAAAAATGCAAATTCCCAAATCCATGTAACCACAAAACAGCATGCCACAGAAACACTAAAATCTGCAGCACTAATACCACAGAGCACTTTTTGTTAAAGCAAYAGAGTAGGTGACAGCATTTATCCACATTACCACCCTCCAAGCACCACCAATGCACCAGAAAAGGCTTTTCCTACCAGCTGACTTCGGAGTGAATTTGTCCCTGTTGGCTGCACATACTGCCAGTAGCCTGTATCCAAGATCCAAGTCAAATCCTTGCTGAGCTGCCACTCGACTAACCACCTGCAGAAGAGAGGAGAGAAAGCTTCATTAGGCGCTACCTGAGCTCCTTGCAACGYGCTGCGCTTCCATGTGGCAGGCCCAGCAAAGTGGACACATCAGCCTGTTCTGGTGGTCGGGTTTTGGGACCACTTGCCAGGAGAAAGCACTCTCAGGTCCATGGAAGTTGGAGGGAAAAAGCTTTAAAGGAAAAATTTTAAAAAAAGAGAAAAAGGAGGGGGAGAATGAGACTGTATACAAATATTATACATAATAGTGGATTTAGCCTTTGAGATGAGATACCACCTGGGTCACCCATGTGTGTCTATCACAAACAGTTCCTGGCCATGTTTTTAAGAGCACTGCCCCAGTCTTTTCAGGTTAAAATGCCCTTCTCGTCGTTGCTGTGCAGTGTTCTGCTGCGCCGAGATCAGTGTCACAGTTGCTGCATTTCAACAATACTATATTGGGAAGCACTTTGCTCTACTTTTAGAATAAATAGCTCTGTGCAGGAAGCATTTGCCAAATACATTAAATACAGAGAGAAAAAAAAAAAAAAAAAGGGGTTTTTGACTTCTCCTGGTAAATGGAAGCTAATCTAGGAGTAATCTAAATTCTTTGTAGGACTTGCCAAACTCAGCAAATCAGACACTAAGGTCAAGGATGAGAAGCAATCAACTGTTTCTCCAGGCCACCGGCTCAGCTATCAGCCAAGAACGTATCCTCCTCAAAATGCACACAGTATTWGCAATACTGTGGCCATTCTGGCAAACCACATGGCAGTTCTACCAGGCAGAGATTTTATGTTGCCTTTCTAGTGGCACAGGACAGTTTCACACTCAGAGAAACAGACAGAACAAGTATTGCTAATAATACCATTATTGCTTTGCATTTAAGCAGTGGCCAAGGAGCTCCACTGGAAACAGAACTCCTTGGATGCATTCCATCTCCCTGCATGAAATAAAAGGCCTCATTCTAAGTAGCTTACAGGAGAAGAAATAAATGGCCTTTTCTCCCCATCCCTGTCATCCTCTGAAAGCCCCTTGCTAAACTAATGACAGTCCACATCAGTGCGCAGTTATCTGTGGTGAGCAGTGGCTCTCCAAAAAGGCTGCAGCACAGAACAGTGAGAAACCAAGATGTGTGATAACCTACAAACGGTGATGAAATGCCCAGTCTGTCCTGCCCACTCAACACTGCAGTGTGCATTCTCCTATTCCAAACTGCCTTCYGGTATCCACCTCCTCTCATTAACACCAAAGAACCACATTTCTTTCCATAAAAGAATGGCCAGAGATAATGCTTAAGGTTCTTGGACAGATTTTTGTTGCTGCTGCAGTTTCTGTTAACTCAGAAATTACAGATTCATGTGATTTTCCCGGGTGGGTGCTGATAAAACCCTAACTTCTTTTTTTTTTTCTTTTTTAAACACATATGGGCACCAATCTCAACACTGAGCAGCAGAGCGCTTTAGGAGAATCAAATGAGATTTATGACAATCACTACAACAATACACAGTCCTAGAATACACCTAGTGCTTTATCGCCTCTTTCTTTTCATAATTAAAATGGATTAAGCTTTAGAAGGAAGGGAAAATAATCTAGACGAAGGACGCAAWTTTTTTTTTGATAAATCAGGAAATATTTCCAGCTTGGTACATTAAACACTAATCCATTACATATAGCAGCAGGATAGCTGTTGCTGTTCTAGTTGTTAAGATTCCAGATCCAAACCTTTAAAAACAAGATTAAAAAACCAAAACCACCACAATGGCAGWATGAGCAAATGCTTGTCTTTCATGGGAAGTTAGCGAGGGGAGTGTAAAGTCGCTCTGAGGGCTGGAGGGCACTTACACACTTGGTAATCTACTCGTGCCCCCTTCCGCTACCGGCACGATTTGGTCACGCGCAGGGGCTCCTTGCAGAAGGGCTGGCAGGGAACGCACAGACAGCCCCTTAAAACTAAAAGCTCTTGCTAAAGGCTCCTGAGGGCAAAGTGCTGTTAATGTGTAAACTCATTTCGGCCCCATGCTCCGCAATATCAACAGGAGCTCACCTCGGAGTGCTGCTTGGGGCTGCAGAATAGAGGAGAAAGGGCCCTCCCGTTTTCTGCCTTGAGCGCCAGGTACGCAGGTTCCTGCTGCACCGCGTGTCCTGGAGCAGAGCAGGCAGAGCAGAGAGGCAGCCAGGCCTGCTCAGCAAGGAGCATGGGGGAGCTCAGCAGCAAGGGAGCCTCGCACGGCGAGTTCAGTTCAAAACACGGAGCCCTGAGCCCGGACATGCTACTGGCCAGAGGGACCCCGAGCTGGCACCTTGATTTATTATGGAACAAAGTCTCCGAGATAATTCAGGAAACAGAGCCACTCATAAAACCATGAAAACCCATCTACGATTGCAATCTCTGCTCTACTGGTTCGGAAGCATGGGTTAGTTTAGGACAACAGGCTGTGACCCTAATCTGTTACACTCTCACTTGACTCCCTTTCCTTTCCTTTCCCTACCCCCTTTTTTCTTTTTTTTTTTCCTTTTTTTTTCTTTTTTTCTCCTTATTTTTTTTAAACTAGTTAAAGAAAACACAGTTCTGTGTCTGGCCACAGCTGACTGAAGCAGCAGACTCCAGGACGAGCAGTGCTGACACTGACTGCTGATGGTGAACGTCTTGTTACACTCCGCTTCCAGCCTGGTTAAGTCACAAACCAGTAGGCACTCCAAGCAGAGGACTAGGCAAGAGAAAGTAAAATCCCAGTTTGAGAGTCTGCAGGAGCAAGCCAGTCAAACTAATCTGCTATTGCTTAAGTTTTTCAGCAGAAATGTAAAAGGAAGCAAACTACAAGTTCTTGCTGGTTTAGAAAATTCTGAATTCTAAAAAAGGAACTTCTTTTGAAAATCTGGGAAAAAAACCCTTCCTCCCCACAAAGAAAAGCAACAAAACTCAACTGCCTAAAAGAAAACACATTTTTAGCTAAATTTCCATTTTGCCAAGAGTCTTTTTCCGCCTAAATTTTTTTTCCCACCCACTCCATTAAAGAGGGTAAGAGCCTCCGTACAGCTGAGAGGGCTCCAGGAGCTCCGAGAGCTTTCGCCTTTTCCTCTCGCTTCCTCCCTTGTGGCCTGGGACTTTCTGCACTTCCCCTCCGTGGCTGCCTTGCCCAACAGGAGCAGGGCAGCTCCCCTTTCCAACTCCCATCTCTCTGCAGACTCATGCATTTTTGCAGTACCTGTGTTGGCTTCATGGCTTATGTTTCCCAACAATTTTAAGAGCTTACTTTTATTTTTAAGTGGCAGCAGAACATAAATCCCTTAGGACATAAGGGAGGAGACGTGAGGCACCCTTACGCAATGGCCTGAGGGCTGAATCCAGGGCCCGGGCACTTCCGATCCCGCTCTAGAAACACAGGGATTCTCGGAAACAAGACGGCAACTTGTGCCCAGGACCAAAAATGCAAAGAACTGACTGAAGGGCATTTTGTAAACTTAATACAGTCACCTCAGCAGCCCCTGGTGAAATTCACTTTCAAATGCCTCCGCAGAGCTCCGGGCCACTCAGATCGCACAGGCACTGACAGCCAAGCAAAACACCACGAGGAATCATAAGAAAAGCAGAGAAATTCGGCTACCAATTTCCTTTCTAATTGCCACGTTTTATCCATACAGTGCATCCCAGCCTCTGCGAGCCTCCAAGGCTAAGGGGCTGCACTGTGGAAGGCTGCACTTCCCTGCCCTCCTTGTCATCCCACCACGCAGTACTGATGTACCTCTTAACCTAACAGGCCCCTTAATCAAGGGCTATCTGGTTGCTTATTGCAAAACTCCCTTCCCATTATGTTGCACTTTCAATGAATCTCTTAACCAGCAGCAGTCAAGAGCATCCCCCCCTGCTGGCACCAGAATGAATTTTTCCAATCCAATTTGCCGGCTGCTCAAAAACTAAAAATGCCACCTGATTGCTAGTTCAGACAGCTCTGTGTTCAGCCACTTGTGCATACTTGAAATTATCTGAATGCAGTTTGAAGACTACAGCAGAAATTTTGTAATTAGAATTCCGCAATGTAGATGGTAATTTTTCCCCCTCAGTAACACACAAAGATCAGATAAACAGGAAGCAAATTGGGGAATTTTGCAACATGAATAGTGATTTGCTTCAAACRGGGGAAAAAAAAGGAGAGGGAGGAAGATATCTTTGTGGTCTGAAGTGCTCGTTTGCCGAAGCCTCTTGCACTCTCGTTGCAGAAGGGCTGCCTCAACAGCACCGACAACCAAAGCAGGTCAGCAGAGCTAGCCATAAGAACAAACTTCTCCCTTTCAGGGCTTGAAAACAGGCCTCCGGTACGTGCTGTGAATGCAGAAGACCCTAGAGAGGCCTAACAATCAAACGAGGGTCTTCTTAACATGCGCTTGCAACGCACTAGGTGTCTAAGGACCTTATTTTCAAATCGCAAGAGCTTCTCTCCCTGCTACTGAGTCTCCTCTTGGATGCTGTTCCTGATGCAGCGGAGCGACCGGCGCAGAGGACGGACCTGCCTCCTTTCGCTCCTCTTCCTCCCCTCTGCACACCTCTAACAGCAATGAGTCTCTAACAGCAAGGAACATGGGCAGGGAGCCCTCCTGCCCACCCCTGCCTCCGGACTTGGCAGCAAAGGAGGCAGGAAACCAGGGCCTCGCTCTAACTGGGCCAGCTAAGCAGCGCAGTCACTGCAACGCGGTTGTCCCCCGAGGCCTGACAGACTGTGAACAATAGCACGGATGGGGCACTGAAGTCTGCACGTGAGGAGAGCACTGCAGAAACACTAAAAGCATTTTAATTAGGAAAGCAACAAATCCCAAACAAATATGCTGAGGCTGTGGAATATCCTGTGTCTCAAGCCACGAAATAACCCAAAAAAGCCGGGTGAGGGGCGGCGGGGGGCAGAATTTGGGGCCCCAGGAGGCTGCAGGGGCGGCCGCAGCGGCGCAGGGCAGGGCGGCAGGAGCAGCCCCGGGCRCACATGGCAGCGCCCAGAGCCAGCGGTGGGCACCCAGCACCGCGCGGTGGGAGACTGAGGCAGGCAGGAGCTGAACATCTTCCACAAACTTCTGGCTCTGGAAGTCCTAGATAAAGACTAAAGACAACATTTCCAGGGTGCTAGCGGGCAGCTATATCTTGTCTGGATGTAGATGTAAAGAATTATCTCTTCCACCTGCAATTACCGTCATTCTGAGTCTAGATTCAAATGGGATTTGAAATCTGATTTTTGAAATGCCAGTGTGATTTTTGATTACACACTTACCTGCGCTAAGCACAAGACCTTAGCCGGACAAGAAGACCATTTAGCAGCAAGTACCTTGTGAACCCATTAGCTCAACTCAGCTGCTTTTGCTATTTAAGGTATTTTGTTTTGGGATCTTGGTCTTATTTAAAGATATGGTTCCTGTCCTTTAAATAAAAAAAAAAAAAAACATATTTGATCGATGAAGGAAAAAGTTATATCATGAATGATGACAGTCTTTTTGTTCTTAAAAATGACTTGAAAAAAAAAAATCAACACTCTCAAGTTGAGGGTTTTCCAAGGAGAAATAAAATTCAAAAAATAYCACATATCACTATCACTAAAAAGGAACCTTTAGCAGGTGCTTTCTACATCTTAACAGATATGCTTTTTTTTTTCCAGCAGCTGTTTTCAGTAGTACAACAATCCAGAAAGAGCTGCAAGCAACATAAAAGACRTAAATGAAATCCATGGACTTCAGATACAGTACAACTTGGACTACAGTTCTGATTGTGAGGTTTTAATTATTTAAAGAGCAACGTTTCTTAAACAAACATGCTCTGAATTATCCCCATCTCRCCACTGAGGCTGGTCACACCATTCACAGAGGACATCTAAATAGCATCAAGACAGTAAAAAAAAGGATGTTTCTAATGAATATCTCAAACATAGCACTTTGTGGGCAAACTGTCATAGGAAGTGTCACCTCCCAGATGAAAAGACAAAGTCAGGTCCTAGCCACTGTGGTCCAAGATGTTGTTTCTGACATCAAAAGTTATATTAGATTCTGTTGTTTGGCCCGCATCCCGCTCAGGTCAGCACATCCTCCTCACCTAATCTTCTACCGTCCCAAACTGTTGTGGTGTCTGGTTTTGATGCTGGCTCAGGCAAAACACCAGCTCTATGTTTCTCATGCTTGTGAAAGACACCACCTCACTTTCCTTGGCAAATTGCAAGTGTTTTTTGTCTCAGAAAAATCAAAATTTGCTCATATGTTTCATGAAAGCTGTTTAAGGGACTCTTTCTGCAGTCTGCAGCTTGCAAGACAGAAAACATTCAAAGCTTACCCTCTCTCCTTGATTTTTTATTTATCTGTTTAAATGGGTTTCTTTTTATTACTCACTCAGTTTGGTCATCTTCTATAATGCATGAGCAGAAAAAACACAAGCTCTAGAATTCGARTTCTGCAGAACTGCCTGAACATGACAGCAACACTCTCGGTGTGGCACRGATTTTTGAGAAAAGCAGCACAGCTTTGAGGGCTTACTGCATGACAAAAATAGTTTATTTTTAGAGCACAGAGATGTCACAAGATGTATATGGGTTTAGGGTACCCACATACTCTAAAGCTTCTCTCTTGTAACTGTTTGTCTTGGCAGCAACAGTCTAAGCTCTTTATCACAAGTTCAACTTTCTGTCCAAAGGAAGAATCAGTTAAARGGTCTTAAACAACAAACAAAAGTATTTAACTAGGCAAACACAGTCTGCTCACAGTCTATAGCAGAGACCTGGGCCTCTACCTTCCTGGCAACGCTTCAGCTGCTGTTCCAAATTCTGAATTTTGTCTTGAGACAAGAAAACCACATTATCCTGAACGCCCTTTCACTTAGGCCTACAGTAGCAAACATAAATCCAGTAATGCACAGCTCATATACCAGTTATTCACTACTGTTAGCAGTCAGTACAGACACTATTAATGTGTTTGCTTTTTTCCTGAAAAAGAAAAAAAAAATCAGTGAGGTAAATGAATCCTGGGCAAGTGTATCTGTTAAACCCTGCCCTTGGCTACCTGAGAGTGAGAACATGCAGTAAAACAGGCTACTGTTAAATTACTTAAGACTTCCCTGCATTTCAGCTGCTTTTCACTTATCTGCAACTTTCTAAATAATTTCTCTGGAACTAGAAAGTTTTAACATGTTTGTTATATTAAGGTAGATACATCTATTTCCTATAACAGGCCTAAACAACAAGCCTCAACAGTTACAAATGCTAAATTTTCAACAGTTTGAAAATGTTAAATTTTCAAAAGAACAACAACATTACTCAAAAAAGTTATAAGTGAGCAAGCTCAGAGAGACTGAAAAAAAAGTGTTAGAGGATAAGCAGGCCCTACCCATAGTACGGCTAGTTATTAGGAAGAAACAGGAATCCTCAGACCCTTGAGTTAAAGTCACACGGAAAAGCACGTTTAGTGGGAAGGAAGAAAAGAGACACGAAAAAGTATCTTCGCTRGAGGGGTTGTGCTCTAAGAGCAGGAGACTTATGGTCCTTTTATACGCTCTCTGCAAGCCCTCTGTGCTTAGGCAGCACAAAACACGGCAGCAACGCAGGTCTCTGTGTCTTCCCCTGCCGGGAACATAAGGAGGTTACAAGGGAGGCTGCTGACGGCCGGCCCTGCGCCGCACACAGCGCTGCCTTCTGCAGGCAGCGGGGAAGGAGAACGGACCCCCCGGTACTCACAGCCAGGGCAGGAACATGAAGCAAAGCAGCACGTGCTATTCAAAAGATAACAGTACTTAGATAACAGAGATCTTTTACTCTTTCTTGTCAGGAAGAAAGAGACGGTAGTTTCATCTCCAGAGGCTCAGCTAACAAGATATTGTGCATTTTACCTCTCCGTTTTCCACGGAGTGGCTTCTTCTCTCTTCCCTGTGCTCGGGRCACACAGTGAATCACCAGCAGCCAGGACCTTATTTTGACCCTGCACTAGGCAGGCCTGCAGGTCTGCTTATGCACAAAGGAAAGATTTAAATAGCAAAGATGACGCAGGTCAGATCCACAACTTTGTAGCAGAGATCTGTGGAGAAGGACTGTGCACAGGCTGCCTGCAGGATACCTGAGGTCACTGTCTCCTTTCTCAAACGCTCATGCCAAGGCTTCAGTCTAGCTAATTTAAAACAAAGCATACATGGAATATATTTATGCTTACATCAGATGCTATAAACATGTTTTAATGTTTAAGGTTACCTATAAAGGATAAGTTATCCTGCAAACAAAATCTTTAAACAGCAAATCTTTGGAATGCTGTAAGATTCCTAATTCTTTTTCAATTCTTCTACTATGTGGGAGAATGATATACAGCTCCTTATATATCACTGCTTTTATTCTAACTTGTTGATGCAGAAACCAGAGATGCTATACACTTGAACACACTAAGATGGAGCCATTCCTTAACATTTGGATTCCTACAGCTAAACCTAAGTCTTAGTGTCTGTTTATCTACATCAATTACATGTTAAGTGAAACTCATCTAGGCACTTCCCCCTCCACAACAAGTACTGGTAAGGCAAGTGTGGTACAGAGGTGAGCTCTTCATTAATCACTTGTAAAGTGTTATCTCCTTCATGACTACTTGTTTATATCAACTTGTTCTACAAATTGCAGTGAAGCTTTCAAACACTCCTGTTCCAGAGAGCTGAATTCCTCTAAACTCCTGACTCTAAATAACAATTTTGGACTGGATTCTGCTGCTTCAAGCAGGGCAAACGAGCTTTCAAAACAATAACAATGCTGTTATGTACACAATGAAGTATATTTTCAATATTTTATGAAAAAGTTGCTTTAAGAATTACAGTGGTCTTATAAAAGGTATGAAAAGCACTGAAGTCTATAAAACTGCTGAAATTACCATGGCAGAATTAAACCTGCAGTCAATATCTGCGCAAGCTAAGCCAAGGGGCATGTCAGGAACACTGTTTAGCTGAAGGTAGGGCACGCTTCATGTAGAGAACAAGTCACCCTCCAAAGTTGTTTAGAAAATGGGAACAGGAACGACATACTTGGAAAGTTTGTTAACTGAATATGAAGACCACTCAGACCACTCACCTGGCAATGTCCAGTGATGAAAGCAGATACTGTGTGTGCACAGCAAGTCATCCAACTTGTGTGTTTCTAAGTAATCTAACTATAAAAATGATTTTCCTTTTTATGATTCCACTTCTAGTTACCACATGCTGCTTCATGCTAACTAATTCAATTAAATAAACAGTTGTCATTCATGATGTTCTTCAGTCAGTTTTGCACGTTTAAAAAATAAAATAAAACCCACAAAACGTAGCACTGAATGCAGTTCCTGGGCCACGACACACAGCATCTGGCACAAACTGCACCACAGGAGGAGTGGACGTACCGTCAAACAGCCCATCAGGCTCTGCTCGAAGGGTCTCTGGAAGGCTCGGGGGTCCCCACACCAGTCCAGGAGCTCGGTGGCTGCATTATGGAAGTTCGCTGGGTTCTGTAAGTGCTGGCGAGAGAAGCAGAAGCAACATGGTAAAAAATGTACCCAAGGAGCGACTGTTACACTACGTCAACTCACATGTGCTGCCCACAAGGGGCTTAGGGGATCAGTTTCTCTTTCTGAAGGCTACCTGGTCAAAGCGAGTTCCCAACTCCTACCCTCACTCCTGCCTTTGTGCTGAACAAGCTGGCATCCTATTAGAAGTTTATAAACTTACCTGATRCCATAACCCACATCAGCATCCTTCAGTGCGCTGTATTACCCAACCCATCCAGGATTTTAGTAGGAGCAGAGTGGAACAGAGGAGTGAAGGAAATCAGTTTAGAATTGCTACCTCTAGGGATACTTCTACCAACTCTGCAAGAAGCTCTTCCTGATACACCGTATGCCCCTGCCTTTCTAATTTTTAAAATACATTTTAAAATTAGTTTTTGTACAACTTTTTTTCTGAGATTACAGAGGACAAGCTTACTTTTTGAGTGTAAAAGTGGAAAAGATAAAGAAAACCCATTACGAATGGACAGGCACACTTTCCTCCCTCAGTTATGTACAAAAGCACTCCAAATACGTACTATATATGTATTTATGTATGTATGTTATTTATCGGCAGCTTAAACATTGCACCCAAGGCAAAAAGCATTAATGTCATTCACATCCTCATGGCAAAAAGCCTGCTTGAGAAGGATAATAATATATCTTCTGTATTCCACAAACAAGAAATTAAGAGATTTTCCTAGCTCTTGATCCAAGAACAGAAGTACAAAACAGCAGCTATGCCAGAGCCATCCATCAGCTTTGTTACGAGCCATTCGCCACGCCTGGCTCCATGCTCTTCAGCTGAAATCACTGGCAGTGTTTTAACAGCAGCAAGACCTGGCCCCAACAGTCTAACATACAATGTGCTTCATGTACTCAGAGGAAAAAAATACCCCCTCAATAGACAATTCTGAAGAGAAGAGAGGAGAAAAAAAGGCCTAGTGAGTCAGGAACACTATGGTGGATTTAAGGCCTGGGATATGCAGACAAACCCATTGAAGTCTACTCAGATCTTGTGTGACACACCTTGGTGTCCCTTCAAAACTGCTACTCATGAGCGATATAATGAAGGGCCAGCTCACACTACCATACTTACAAACAACACAGAAGAGAAGAGTGTAGAAGATTTGCATGAATATAACACAATAAACAAAGGCTGCAATAAMCTGAAAGGACCACTAATCTACCTGCTAGGAAACACCACTATTTCCATTACTTCAAAAGCTACCAAAATTTCCAGTGTAATCACTCACAACCCTGCAAATCTAGCACCTTCCTAGGCCAAATGTAAGAGGAATCACAGCACTGCGAGATGCCATCAAGAGGTACTAGACGTGTGTGACGTGCATGGCTGCTGGGATCTCCGGGCGCTGCTTGGATAACACAGTCTCGCCCAGTCATTTACTTTGGTCTCGGAAGGAATCTCGTGCTCTTTGCATCACCCCAGTTAACAGCCTGCTCGGGCGGATGGAGAAGACACCAAGCAGAGAGCAAAGCCTGCTGCCAGGCCCAGCACGAGCCAGCTCCATCAGCAAAAAGGGCCTTGCTGAGGGCTGGGTGACAACATCTGGGTTGGACTGCAGGGAGGACACCAGTGTCTACCTGCTGCTCGCAGCCAACCCTGCCTTCAAACTTCCATTCAAAGYGAAGTGCAGACCATTTTTGTGAATCAGTGTGGCCACTGGGCAGGACATCATGGGTGCACCAGGGTCCAAGCTTATCAGCTGGCACAGTACCTCTCTAGGGGCCTGTTCCCTGGAAAAGCCACGTTCCCGTGGGCAGAGACAACAGCTGATAAGTGATGAGGTTGAGTCCAACCATTTCAGAGGAGAGCTGCTGCTTGAAGCTCTAACTCCCCTCCAGCTGGACGGTGATCAAAACTCCGTGTTGAGCCCCGAGCTGGGTGCTTTATACTACACACTGGGGCAGACTCCCAATGGGAAATATGTCTATGTAATAAAGATCTTATTTTTTAAAGACTACTAAAGCACAATCAAGCACTTTCAGCCTACACCCCCACACCATGGCATACACTTCCTGCAACCAAAAGCTTGATATAATTTTAGAGACAGAAACCAATTACCCAGACTGAAATGAAGCAAGGCCACCAGCCTTATGTCTAAATATAGAAGACTGCCACCCAGATGCACACTAGCACATCCTAGACAGAACAGTAAGTAATGAAACACTATCAGGCAAAATTAAGAGYTACACTTACAGGAGGTTGAAGTTATCTCACGCATGGATCAAGACATGCTAACATGACAGCAATGGTATGGAAAGTGAAATCGTTTAAACACAAAACCCATATGCTCTGATTTGTTGCTATAGAAAACAAATGCAGAATTTCACCTAACACACTACGTATTTCTGGGGGAGGTGTATTTTTTTTCTCTTTTCATTAGAATACATCAGACTGAAGGCACAGACCTAATTTGCCACAACTTAACCTATCCAAATTAAGATGTCATGCAAATAAGTCGCTTTTGAGCAGCAACTGCTTAGCTATGCTAAACAAGTTATTCCATTTATTTACGTGATGTCGCACCGCATTAYGAGGCCTGACTCGAGTTGTCTGCTTATTTTGCCGAGTTACGTCTGCTCTGTGTCTCGCTACCCGATTTAATTGAGCTACTGCAGATCCTGTAACTTATCACCCAGGCRCGGTGCCGGGCTGCTGGCTTCTAGGTTCATTAGCAGCCGCCTGCAGCCCCTGCATTTCTCACACGGTTGGCCACTTAGACCCTGCCTAGCGCCTAGCCTCACTGATCAGCGAGCCCAGCAACTTGGTATTAGTGCTAGAAAACACCAGCAATATGTGGAGTCATGGACTGTGCAGGAAGAGAAAGAGCAGCAGCAGCCCGCGGACGCCGCCGGGCTAACCCGTCGTGGAGGCCGACCTCCTCGTTCACGTCCCCAGAACACAGGTACACACAGCAAAACGGCTTCAGGGTTCTGCTGCTGCGCATCTTTACAGCGGGGCTATTCCTGGTTCACACCACGGAACAATCCGAGTTTTGTAGAGCTCGTCTTGGTGCAGCAGGATGAGAACTTCGGCAGGAATGAAAGCCAACATTAAACCCATCTTTTCCAAAACATGAGCCCAGCATCCCGCACAMCACAGGGTCTGCACAGAACTCATGACATGCAAAATGTATGTGTGCAAGCCTGAAGTTCACATGGCCTGCTCGCTATTTTTTTTAGCTGTAGGTATTCACATTCTCCAGATTTTCTCCACAACTAAAGTTAAAATTCTCATAGGGTTGTAAACTCAAAGGTTTAAAAGCAAAACCAAACATATACYAATTATTATCAAACTATGTTTATAAAAACCTATAATACCCCAAACTCTTGGTGCAGAAATGATGCTTCATTTGGAACTAAGCCACTGGCTGAGGAACTGACCCGCTCTTTTCCATGTCTGCGGGACACTCCCACCTCTCGTGTCTCAGCTCTGTGCCAGGTGAGCCAGTACCTGCTGTCCTGCTGCTTGTGCAGGTTCTACCAGGTAATTCAGACTATTTTTTGTCTGCCTGAGCCTTCACCTGGACACGTTTGCAATGAGCTGTAAGAAAAACGTACTGTCACGCTGAGTAGGTAGGGGAGGAGGAAAGGGAAGGGAAGGGGGAGGAAAGGAACGTGGAAAACAAGGAGACTACCCGCTCTGCGACTGAAGCAGCACAGGGCAGAACGAGCTCGTGCTCCTGCTTGTTAGCAAGAGCAACAGCAGCTCGGCTCAGAAAGGAAAATTAACCACCTRTCTAAAGGACAGACCCCCCCTTCCCCCTGCCATGCACAACTGGTGCTACAGGGACACCAGCCCAGCACGTGTTTGAACACAAAAAGTGCCACGGCCCAGAAGAGACGGCTTTGGTATTTTCCTTTTTTTTTTTTTTAATAAATAATAAGTATATTTCATAATTTCCTAAGTAATGTGACTAGGCTTCCTAAAAGCCATATACAGGAGAAGCTATATGTTGTACATTAGAAACTCATTTGAAACCAAGATTCCAAACAAACCTTTTTTCTTTTTCAGGAGGATAGAGGGGAGTATTGAGCTATGTTCTTCTGAGACTCCGATTTGTGCTTATCTAGATACAGTTATATATAGTTCAATTCTCTACAGTCCCCTTCAATATCAAAGATTGTTTTATTTAAAAGGCTCAAGCTGTGCGTTTTGTATTCAGATGATTTTTCCCCCCAAATTCGAGTGTTTTTGAGATTGAGAGATCCCTAATTAATAGAATTATCTTGCACTTACACRGCTCCTCTCACTGGAGACTTTATAAATATTTTATTAAACTCACATTTTGATAAGCATTAGATACTCAGAGAGTATCCATGTAAGCCATGGCTACTTATCACAAGGGAACTGGCTCTGGCTGTTTGTCCACTGCAGTTTTCCTTTCAAGGGAAGAAAAATCAGTAACTTCAGAGCAAAGACCAGCATCACTCGTGCAATATTTTGAACACCCTGGACGAGGTGAGGAGGGCAGTCACTGCTGACGACAGGAGTTTATGTACTAAACAAGTGAGAAGAGACACACAAAAGACAAAAGTGTCACTAAAACGAAGGCAAGTTGTATCCACCCACCGGGAGAGGGTCCCATCCTCGCACCTCTTATCAGCAGCACCCAGAGGGGCTGTTACACCAGCTGGGAGCACAGGGAACAGCGGGGTTCACAAAACACTCAAAATAATCAAACGACGGAGAAAAACATTTCCTTAATTGCTCACAAAGACACGGGGCTGTAAAGGGGTAGAGTACGTTCTTTCCCCGAGGCCACGTAAGGCTCCCGTGCATTTTTCCGTCTGCATCAAGGGCATTATGGAAACGGTTTGCTTAGCCAGTTCGCTCACTCCTCTTGGGAACGGAAACAAGCCATTTTCCAACGGCATCCCCCTGTTTTCACATGCTACCTGAGATGCCTATATATGAGAGGTCTATCTTGCACATGTACYTTTCCCCT